CCCACCCCCGCCTCGACACCCTGGCAGAGAGCCCTGAGGGTGTAAAGGAGGCCAGGGAGGGCGGGAACTCGCCCACCATCCCATGGCCAGCATGGGGGCCTCTCAGGCCAGCGGGGTGACATGGGCCCTCACCAAGGACAGTCTTCCCTCTTCTGGCTCCTGCCCCAGAGGGCGTCTGCGGTCTGGGTGGCCCTGCACCTCTGTCTGCTGGACCCCTGTGTTCGCATCGCCTCTAGGGAGAGGCCTGAGGGAAGTCCAGTCCCTGACCAGGAGGGAGCCAGAGCCGGCATGGCATCCCCAGCACAAGCCACAGGGGCCACGTGGTGGGCCACGTGAGCCAGCACAGCTCCTGGTGCCCTTCTCCCACCGGGTCACCTGGCGGCTCTAACAGCATCTTCTCCTGCTGTCTTGTCCACTCTGGGGACAGAGGCACCTCCCACCACCCAGAGCCCCTCTTTCTGACTTCATAGTGGCGACCCCCGCAGTGGCCGGGATCCTGACACCAGGGGCAGAGGCGGGAGCCACACGGGCTGTGCACGGAATGTCAGAGGGGTCCTCCACATAGACTGAGACCACTGCTTTTACAGACCATGAGGAGCGGGGCCCCTAGAACCGAACTGCAGTCTGCGCCACCTATGTGGGGGCCTGGTGGGGAGGGGGCCCAGAAGGGTGGGGCCCTGCAGCACTGGGGGGAGACCAGGGTGGGCAGTTGAGCAAGGAGGGGAAGGGAGATGCTTTGGGTGCTGGGAAATGGGAGGGTTTAAGGGGCCAGGGTGCTTACAGGTGACCTCAGTGCTCCATGGTGGCTGGAGGGACCAGTCCGCAAAATGGCCCTGTGCAGCAGCCAGCTCAGACGCTCGTCTCTGGGGCCGCCCCTGCCGGGCTCACCCCAGCCCTCCCCACAGCGTTTCCTCCCCTCATGAGGGCCGGGGGCCCATCGGCACACTCGCTGGTGCCCATGGAGACAGGGTGGTCTGCACGGGGTGGGCCGCCTGCCCTGACTCAGAAGCTACGGAGAGCTTCGATGCCACCCAGCCATGGCGTCCAGGCCGCTTCCCTGGGGCCGGCACGGGGGGCATTCTCCCAGGTGCCATGGCTGCCTGGCCTGGCCCTGCCCACCCTCCTGCGGCCCCTGTGAGTGACCTCAGCCCTCCTTCCCTAGCTGTCTCTGAGTGACCATGAGGACACTACCCCTCTGACCCCAGGACCGGGGGACAGGGCCTGCCTTCCTCAACCCCTGGGCCGCACTCCAGGATCCCGTGTACTCCGACCACCCCTCTCTGCTCTGCTCTGGGCATCTTGCTGTGACCCGGCTGTCTTTATTTACTCTTCCCTGCACGGTCGCAGGAAGCAGCCGTGCAGTCTCAGTGGGAGTTTGTCTTGGCCCAGGAGCTGAACCCACAAACCAGGGGTATTTCCGCCAGGACAGGGCATGGGGCTGACCCGGCTGCGGCCTCCTCGCTGCTGGGGGTAGGCGACCTGCCCCCATCTGAGGGCAGTTCTGTGGAGTCAGGCTCGGCCCTCGGGAACTGTCGGCGTGTCACAATCTCGAAGTATGGGCGGTAGAGGTGGGGGGTACCGTGGGGAATGTGCTCCATCCCCCACACAAGGGAACCTCGAGGCCCCAGTGCAGGCCCGGCCTGTGCCCCACTGTGGGCTGGGAGGAACACCCCATACAGTCTGCAAAGATCAGCTCAGCTGAGCCCGGTCTAGCTGGGCCTGAGGCCTTGTGCCTGCCCCAAGAGTGGTGTAGCCAGGCTGCCCCATGGGACGGGGGGGACAGGGCGAGTGCCGGGATGTGGGGCCCTGGGGACTTGCCTGTGGGCCTGGCCACTTTCTGGGCAGAAGTGGGGTGGTTTTGTTGGCCGACTGATCTGGCCAGGACACCAGCTGGGGAGATGCCACCCACCCAGGTCCTGCCCGACCCCAGCAGGCTTTCCTTGGGGTGGGTGGGCAGGTGGGGCTGGCCAGGGCTTGAAGCCTGGAGCTCAGAGGTGAGAAAGAGTCCCGGGGAGCCACTGTCCTTCCAAAGCTCCATCTGCCCAACATCCCCCAACCTTCCCTCCTCACCGCTGGCCACGCCCGGGCCTCCCTCTGCCTGCTCCGTCGTCCCCAGTGTGGAGTGCAGCAGACAGCCCTCCGGCCCCCTCTATGGTGGCCCAGTGGCAAGCTTGGCTCCAAGCAGGCCCTCTCCCCCCTCTTGCAGGGACCCACCACGGGGCATGGGTACACAGGGGTCACGGAGCCCAGGGTGGGCTCCCAGCCCCTCCCAGCCCTCACAGGCAGTGGAGCTCGGCTCCCACCGGTTCTGCAACGGGAAGTGGGGAGCACCGGCCCCTTCCATCTGGGGCCTGGACCTCCTAGACATCTATTTCACAACTGTCCACACACGGGCGAGGAGTCCACCGAAGGGAAAGGTGACATGGTTTGCTCAACCTACACGACACTGCCCGCCCGGGCGCAGCTGCAGAGTGGCACAAGGGTGGGAGCGGGAGGGGGAGAGCCAGCGGAGGGCCCTCCTCGGGCGAACACAACCCCCTTTGCCAGCCAAAGCCGTTTGCAGCCTCTGAAATACCCATCATCTAAATGACCAACATTATTCAAAACTGAGCAAAACCTCGTCTCCCTGGGGGAAGAAAGGGTGTAAGGAGAGGAGGGGCAGGCACAGCCTGCTGGGGTGACCGCTTCACCAGGCCACCAGGCCGGGTCTCACAGCGCACAGGTCAGAAGGGATAAAGGCTCCTGTGAGCGCTCTCCCTCCTCCCACGCCTGCAGCCCGTCGTCCAGCTCCCTCCTTGCACCTCCCCCTGTGCGCAGGCATCCCCGTTCTCACTGCCCCCTTTTCTTCTACATAAAGGGGCCGCTGGCCACCCCATCCTGCACTGCTCTGTCCGCAGCAACAAGCTGTCCTGGAGGTTTCCCGTACTAACGCTTCGAGGAGGCTGCTGCTGTTTAACAAGAAGCACAGGACGCTGTTTCCTTCCACAGCTGATAAACCAGGCAGATCCCACCAACACCGTCACGCCATTGGGAGCTCCACTTTCAGGCTGTCCTTCCTTTTGGGGCATATCTGAGTTCCCCGGCCTGGGACTCATCCGGTCACCAAGCTCTGTTCCCGCTGGACAGCTGAGGGTGCTGGGCTGGGGCTCTCAGGGCTGGACAGGGGGCCACCCGGAAAGCCCTGCTCACAGTTTGCCTCCTCTGAAAGCGACAGCTGCTGACGACCCCTCAAAAACAGCCCCTGGCCGGCAGCCATGGCTGCAACTCATCCCAGCAACTGGCTGGGGGGCCGCAGGGGCCTGAGCCACCAGGTCCCGGGCCCACAGAAGGCCACCTCCTGGGGCTTTGACAATTTGGGAGCTTGGGATCTTTTTTTTTCCTTTTTCAAATAAAGACTCCACGGAGGGCTGTAAATCTGATGCCACAGTCTCCCTGATTTCAGTCTGAACTCAAAGTCCCAACTTCAAGGCTGTCACACCAGGTCCTCAAATGACCCCAAGGCCTCCACTCACCATTCCCCAAACCCTGGAGAGACACTCGGCCCTGCCAAACCTAGCTGCAGCCACCAGCCCGGAACAGGAGGGAGCTCCACGGCCACCAGACGCCCAGGTCCCGAGCTGGCGAGCCCTCCTCGGAGTGGACTCTGCTTCGCGACACAGCAAGGGACACGCTGACATCCCAGTGGCCAGTGTGGGCAGGGGGATGTGCAGGTGGAGCAGGTCAGAGAGGACGCAGGGTGATTCCCAGCTCTGTCCCCGCTTGGTGGTCAGTCCCGTTTCCTAAGAGTGACCCTGGGGACCCGACACCATCCAGGGTCTTACTGGCCAAGCGTGTGAGGGAGACAAAGATTCAGGTCACAGAGGGCAGGACCCGCTTCTCAGAGGCGCCCTGCCACCTCGCATCCCGCGCCTGGCGGCCCTCCCCGCGGGCCCCCCCCGCCCGCACCTGGCTTCATGGCGCTCATGACAGCGCGGCAGCTGCACAGCACCGCCTCGTAGATGGCCTTCTGGTCTGCGGTGAACTTGCCGTTGGCGGGGAAGGAGCACGTGATGTCAGAAGAGAAGCAGTAGTACTCGCTGCCCATGTCGAACAGGCTGTGGGGAGAGGAAAGCATGAGGCCAGTGGGGCACTCGGGGACACAGCCCCCAACTCCCCCCGCCTGCTCGGGGCTCACGGGTGGCCTGCTCAGCCCTGGACATGGCAGGGTGCTGAGCCCGAGCCTTCTTGTGACCAGTGACCAGAGCAGGCAGCACTTTGGGGCCCCCCATCCAGTGTCTCCTCACGGTGCTCGAGCAGCAAAGGAACCTCAGGCCCTCCCGGGAGACCTCTGACCCCAGAGCAGGGAAGGCTGGGGGGAGTGGGGCTGACCCTGCACACATCCCCTGCCCTCCACAGCCTCCACTGACCCGGCCTCTGAAGGCCCGGCTGTGGGTCCTCACCGAGAACGAGGAGGGGAGGAGATGTCCCCCGCCCCCGTCCGCCCCCTGGCCTCCACGTGAGCCCCTCCAGGGCTGCCCTGCGCCCAGCACGGGGCCCGGCTGCAGCCCGCAAGGCGATGCTCACGGGAGCTGCACAGGGGACAGACAAACCCCCCGGACAGGGAACCAGGGCTGAGCCACACCACCCGCCTCTCGCAAGCCCCAGTGTCAGAGTGAAAACCCAGCCGACGGCTCTGCTCCGGCTCTGGGGTCCCCCTGGCCAGAGGGAAGCACCCCTCTCCCTGCTGGGGTGGGACAGACGTGCTCTGCCAGGGCCTGAGGGCAGGGCGGGGAGCAGGCAGAGGACAGCCTCACGTCCAGCGGGGCTTTCCCCAGGCCAGCCAGCTGCACACCCCCTCGGGGGCCGCCTGGTGCCCCAGCATCCCCAGGCGGCAGAGCAGGGAGCAGCACGCACAGACGCAGGGAGTGGAGAGTGGTGACAGAGGCAGCCTGGAGCCAGGAGCCATGAGCCCACAGAGGCAGGAGAGTGCTGGGACAGACGGGCAGGCCTGCTGAGTCAGGAGAACGGCCCCGCCGAGCCTGCCCTCTGGACACTCCGTGACAGGGCCCCGGGGCAGCGGGGCAGGAGGAGTGGGCGGGCTGTGCTCCCACACCCCTGCTGCTTGACCGTGCCCTCGGGGCCCTCGCTCATCGCGGCAGGAAAGCATCCCACCCCACGCGCCCTCCACAGTGGGATGAGACAGGATGTGTAAGGGGCTGCTGGCTCCCACTGGGTCTCCCACGCCACAGGGACTCCGAATGAGAGAGTGGGGTGCACACACCGAGCACCCCAGCAGGCTGCTCGCCAACAGGCACAGAGCAGGAACCCCCCAGCACCCAGCCCCGTCACGGGGTCATGGCCAAGCCACGGCGCTCATGGTGACAAAACTGGCTGAGGGACGTGGGTCCAGCCCCAGGCTGCTGCTGCGTCTTCAGGGCCAGGGGACCACAGAGCCAGGTGGAGCTGAGGCGGCGGAGGCTGCCCTCTGATGGTGCCAGCTCCCCGTGGGGCGCAGTCTACAGCTGCAAATCTGAGCCGGGGCAGAGCCACGCCTTCCACACAAGGGCTTCTCATCCAAACCCCAACTCTAATGGTAACCACAGCCACTCAACAAACATTCCAGAAGCTGCTGTGCACCTGCCTTTGGGGGCCCCTATCCCGCACAACGGAGCGGGGGACCCTGGCCCTACGAGTGGAGCAAGGAGTCAGGCCACTATCCTGACAGGCAGCACCAGCTACTCCATAGAAACAGATTTTTAAAGGAAAAATTCGAATGCTCAGGATCGCTGGATGCCTTACTGGCATCCAAAGTCCTGAGCCGGGTGCTCTGTAATCTCTTGTCTTTTTCCGATTGCAAAACACCATCAACAGAGTCGACAGTGCAGAAGGCCCCAGATAACAACTCAGGTGACTCTCCCCCAAGGGCTGGGGAACTTCACAGTGGGTCAAAGTCATAGACTCTGGGGGACCTGTCTGGGGTGGGCCGATGGGAGGGCCCTGGGTCTCACTTGAGGTGACCTGCCCCAGCCCAGTGTGGGAGCCGGGACGACGAAACAGAGCAGACGCACCCAGGCTTCTGCTCCCCAGGAGGCTCCAGATGCAACAGGGTGTGGGGCCGACAGCTGCCTGCAGTTTACCCCTGCCGGGTCATAGTCCCGCAGAGCTATCGGGAGGGCGAGGCACATCTTAGCCCTAAACTGCTGGGAAACTGAGGCTCTGAACACTGGTCCAGCAAAGACCGGAGTCGGGGGGTCAGCAGCTCAGAGCCTGGCTCTGGCACTCAGCCTTCAGGGCCTCAGTTTTTCCACCTTTAAAGTGGGGACGCCACCACTGGTGCAGGCAGGCGTGGGCAGCAGAGCTGCACGGTTCCACGGCCCAGTCTCACGCAGGGAGCAGAGCTGTTCATTTGGGCTCCTCAGAGGCAACGAAGGAAAACGGTTTGTGGTTTGTTGATTCAGAACATCCAGGAATGGCCTGAGCAGACAGGACAGAGCCAGGAGCGTGGGGGACACAGATTCCTGGGGCCACCACATCAGAGGGCGAGCTGCAGCAGCCCTGGGCAGGAAGATCTATGGGACTGTGCTGATCTCAAAGAAAAACAGAAATGGCACTATTTAAAAAACCAGGAAGCCCACAGGAGCACACGCAGCGCTGGAGTCCTCTAGAGCAGCGACAACAAGACTCTCCCCCAGGGCAGACGAGACTCCTGACCAAGTCCTCGAAACTTTCCTCAGAAACACGGAAAGAACGGGGGAGGCTGGGCGCCTGGAGTTCCTCGGCCAGCCTGGCTTCATCACTCAGATTCTAGAAGACTTCAGCTGTATTTTGCGTTTTAAAGTCATCCGCTTTCTGGAGAAGGAAGTGTACACCCAGCCGGCCAGCTCCATCCTGCCCGGCGACTCTCGGGCACGGGGCTGACGGCTATTTTCGTGTTCTCAGTTCCCTATCTTTCTGCTTTTTTTTTTTTAAATGCCCCTCCAAGTTCCTATACACATAAGTTATTCAGATTTAAGCCATTCTGGAATCCAGGGATGAAAGCCATCTCTTTTATAAATCACTTCCCTCCAACTCCTCTGTGTCCACTTCATCTCTGAATGCAAACTGACAACGGAGAATTCGGTCACACTTTGGCTCCGCCGAGAACGCAGCAGCTCTCCTCCCCGGCTGCCTGGGGACACCAGCAGGGACCCCGCCATCCTTGGCCGAGAGAGTGCGCGTGATAATCTAAGACATGTGGGAGCTATTCCACATCTCCAAGCAGTACGCTGGCGTCTGGTTCCTCACATGTGCTCATCTGCTTCTATTTCTGGCTGGGATGGGAGGTTCTGTCTTCCGTTGGCTCCTCATGGGCAGCTTCATGCCCGGGCTACCTGCCACCACCGGCCCACCCAGACCCTCCTCAGGACCCCCTCAACTCCCTCGGCCCCACCGCAGGGACCAGCCAGCCCACAGGCAGAAGGCCTAGGAGATGGCTGGGCCAGCGATATAAGGCTGGGGAAGAGCTTTGAGGACACGCTGCAGAGTCTACACAAGGGCCACCATGCACTTGGTCGGTAGCTTCGCGTTCATCGCCCGAGCTGTGGCCTAGCTCTCAGCTACCTCTCACCCAACACCGACGCTGTGCATGCCCACACAGGCCTATGCACGAGAGCAGGAGCATTTCAGACCCCAACCTGAAGCCGCCCAGGCTGGGGATCTCTGAACAGCAGGAAATTCCTGCTTCCCTGCAGACCTCAGCATGCAATAGAGAGGAAGGTGTACCGGTCACTCGCCTGTTCCTGTGCCACAGTGGGCAGCCTTTCCAGACGAGGCACGTGGGCTGCCCGCCTGCTCCCAGCCAGACCTGTGGAGTGCCAAGCTCCAGGTGTGACCAGCAGGTCAAAGGCCATCACTCGGAACCCTGGAGGCTCCCTCAGCACCCCAGGCTGACTCACCAAGCAGACCTCTGGGCATACGCACTCCCCACCCCAGCCCCAGAGCCAGCAATCCCCGTGCACACGGCGACAAGAGCTGGGGGCCTCTTGCGCGTCCAGAAAGAACTGCTGTCACCACTCTATGGACGATGTGGGGAGAAGCAGAGCACCAGTGTGGGGCCAAGTCCCCAGGAAGGACACTACCCAGTACCTGGCCCAATATGTGGGTGGGACATGGCAGCTGCCCATCCACGGCTTGCTGCCACCACAGCATAGTGGGGCAAGGGCTGGGCCTCAGGGCCTGGCCTCCGCGGGGGAGGGAGTGAGTCGGCGTCACGCGCAGAGCACATGCTTCATTTCACTTTTTTGGTAAGCAGTGTCCCATGATGTCTGCGAGCACCCAGGCTGTCTGGACTGGCGCTTTTCAAACTGCGGGTTGTGAAGTCAACTGAGGGGGTGCGGGTAGGAGGCGTAAATGAATTAAACAGAACAGACGGAAAGCACGTGGGAAGGGTGTTGGGTCATCATCTGGGTGTACCTGCGCCCATGGTCCTGCGTTACAACATGAAGGGTGCTTCTGACTGGACAGAATGGTGAAGGCCATGGCCACTGGTCTGGAAAGACAGCTGGCTGGGGCCTGTGCCCTCTTGAGTGTGTTTTCTTGCCCTGAGGACTGGGTATGTCCTTAAGACCATCAGATCCTCAGGACCGCTGGCTGGTGACAAGCCAGTGTTCCTCTCAGGAAACAGCAAGGGGAGGGGTCCGGGCTGGGCCCGGCATCAGGGAACAGGCCCTTGAGGTGACACTCGTGCTCTAAAGCTGACAGAGGCATCAGGACAAGTGGGGCGTGAAGCCCCCTGCCCCGGCCCCTCTGCCAGCTGGGGAGAGCCCCCAGGTTGCCCCTCTGTGAGGCCACAGTCTGCAGATGCTGGCAGACATGCGACCAAGTGGCCACCAGGAGCCGCAGAATCGTCGCATCCCGGCCTGCAGTATGCCAAGGGGGCTGCAGGGGCCCCGGGTGAGCAGCAGGCACCCCACAGCCTGCAGGGGCAGGGACGGAACGTCTGTGATGCAGACGCAGGCTGCTCCCCAAGGCACAGTGGCTCAGGATGGAGAGGGCAACCTTCCTTCCCAAGTAGTTTAAACCAACATCTAGTCCACGTCAAACCTGAGGAATCCACAAGGAACTAACCAGAGAGGGT